CCATGAGTCCTGCTTGCCACTCCTAAACTGTATCTACCTGAAACCAAGATTACTTCAATTTAAGACGACCCCCAGTTAGATTGTAACCCAGGAAAGTGATCTGGTGAGAATTAGCCGTAGACTGACTCTCCGCGGGGGCTGGCTGCCCTCGCTTTACCGCTCGGCCGAGGCAGGGGGTGGGGGGAGGAGGGGGACGCCTGGCCCTGCGCCACCCTGGTGCCCCGTGCGGGTGCCTCTTGTGGGCACGGGTCCCGCGTGTCCCCCCGGCTCCGGTGGGGCTGCTTCCCGCGGTCCCGTGTTGTCTCGTCAGCGCCGGATTTACTCCGCCGGGGCAGCGGTCCCGGAGGAGCAGGGGGCGGGTTGGCGGCGCCGCGGGAGCGAGCCGGGGCCGGGCAGGAGGCTGCAGGCCCCCGGCGCGGGGGCGGCGCCGCGGCTCCTCCTTAAGTCGGGGGCGGGGCCTGCTAAGGAGCCCTTAGAGCCGCCGCCTCGCGTTTAGGTCCCGCGCTTAGGCCCATCCACGGTAGGGAGCGGGGCCCGGGCCGTGAGCCCCCGCTACGGCTCGTCCCACCTGAACGGGGCCGGCCCCGGGACAGAGGCGCATTGGCTTCCTGAGGCGGCCCTGGCCGCTGGGCTCCGCGCGGGAAGTGCCCAGCGAGGGGCGGGGCGGGCCCGCGGGCAGGTGCCGCAAGGTCCCTCTGTCGGGCGCAAGAGGCTGCCTCGGCCTGAAAGGGACATTCAGGCTGTTGGCTGCACAGGCTGGGTCGGGGGGCTGCGCCAGTCCCCTTTGCCCCCACATCGCTGGGGCAGCAGGTCTGTCTTAATCTCTGCCTTTCGGTCCTGCCTGCCCTCAGTAGCCCTAGCACCTCAGGGCCCGGATGAAACTGGTGCAGTTACCAGGCTTGATGGGAGGACTGTCAACTTCCTCCAGAGCCCCCATCCCACCATAGCTGAAACCAAACTAAGCAAAACCAGTGCTTTCACATGTGGCCCCGAGTCCCATAGTGGCTTTGCAGACTGCGCCCCCAGCACCTCGTGCCTGAAAGCGGTGCTGCAGGTTCGCCAGGAACATTGTGATGCGGTTCTAGGCACAGTGCTCAGAAAGGGTCTTTTCCCCTTGAGGTGAGGGTGACCAGGCTAGAGCTCGACCAGGCTTCAAGCTCTGGCTGTGCCTGTACAGCAGTTGTCTCCACTGCAAAGCTGACCAGGCTTTGATTCAAGTGGCTCAGTTGCTGCTGGCCAGGAATCCTTTCATGCATCTACCCAGCTGTAATGCTAGCAATAACACTGGCTGTGCTAGGTGGCACGCTGCATGGTTGCAATTAAATAAATGTCTCCTAGGAATCAGTGACTGCCTTTCCAGAATCATCCTCAGCAGCCTGGTTCAGGTCAAAGCATGTGGGTGCAGAGCATGGTTTGAAAGGACTGAGGAACCTGGTTGTATGGTCCAATGCAGGTCTCATTAATGTGTTAAATCCAGTTCAGCCTTGTCTGTGAACTGGATAAGCAGTCAATATTACCCACCCTTGTCATGGGAGGTCAGATGTATTTACAAAATTAGCAGGGCCTGGCTCTGACTGAGTTGGGATCTTAACTCCTGTGTGGCTCCAGCATGTGGAGCACAGGGGGCTTCAGGTTTGTCACAGCCAATGCATGGTTGATCTTCCTACTCTGCACACAGGGAGCTTAGTAAGTGGATGTTTATGCTTGGCCCACCTTTTCATCCAAAAAAAAAGGGGGGGGCAGAGCACCTTAGAAACTTTCTGCCTCCTTTGAGTCCAGATGTTTTAATCCCTGATCAATTTGTGGGCTAAAGCAGGGCTCCAAACCCCTGGCTGTCTGCCTTCCAGGTCAGGAGAAGGAGACATGTTGGAACCTGCTTTGGCCCCAGCCAGGGTTTAACAGAGCCTTTTTGTCATACACAAAGGCCTTTCAGAAATGCTCGCTTTCAGTGCCATGGCCATTTTCCATACCAGCTTGGGTGGGAGGGGGAGGGGAGGGAAAGGGAGCAGTGAAATGACTGTCTCCAAGC